GGGCGGCAGAGATGGCAGCACATATATGGACTCTGGAGGAATCTCTGAAGCCAATGGTCACCCCAATTTGTGTCCCTTCCAACTTTTCCTCTTTCTCAGTCCACACCTACTAGTAAAAAGTCACCTAGCAGGCTATTAGTTTCATATTCCCGTCTGCTTCTTCAGGAGGGTTCAGGCCATCTTCTATAGGGATGGAGGGGTGGGTCTGTCCTCTTCTTCAGGCCATTTATCCATGGATGTACCTCAGATTCTTTGTCTGCAAAGGGAGGGTGACCGAGCCAACCTTCCTTACAGAGCTGTGTGAGGACCACAGAGCTAATGGATGTGAAAATTTGCCTTAGAAAGAACAAAGTGCCATATTTACAAACACAGGATGTATTTATTGATTTATTTATTCTCCTCTGTGTTCTAAAAAAGGATTTGAGGCAGTTTACCAAAATGTACACAATACAGTGGGATAAAAAGAGATAAAATGATAGAACAAAGGGAAAAGAAGGGTAGAAAAAGAAAATAAAGCCAAGGAGAATGCTAGTACATAAAAATCTATGCTCAAAATCCCTGAACAAGTTCAGATCTGAGCTTTGTTGTGAGCGAAATAGTGAGAAGTATAATCAGTTACAAAAGGTACAGTAGCCATGAGGTAAAATCCTATTAGCAAGTCAGGAAGGGCCACATAGCTTATCTTAGTGCTAATACCTGATAGAAATTTCATCTTATCAAGAAAACATTATGGAATTCCCCGGTAATCCAGTGATTAGGAACCCACCTGCCAGTGCAGAGGACACAGGTTAGATCCCTGGTCGGGGAAGATTCAACATGCTGAAGGGCAACTAAGTCCGTGTGCCACAACTACTGAAGCCTGCTCACCCTAGAGCCTGTGCACCACAGCTAGAGGAAGGCTACATGCAGCAACGAAGACCTGGCACAGCCAAAAATAAATAAATTAGTTTTTAAAAATACTATGGGAAGGACTGGTCTGCATATTCAACAGTATTTAGATTCCTGTCCTTTTATTTTCAAGATGTCCCCTGACATCTGCTTCAGGGTGTCAAGTGGGTTCATCATCTATTTATGATTTAGCTAACATCATTGGATACCAACTAGGTAGAAAGCAAAAACATTTTTTTTTTTCTATTTATGGGAAAATGAGGTTAGGTGCAGGAGTGGTATATGAGCTCCCCAGTGAAGTGTGGGACAAAAAAGTTCGAACATCTTGGCTTAGCTGAAACGTATAAAAATCACTAAGACATAAAACTGATCCAAGCAGGCTATAAAGACACGGCTGCCTTTGCCTCAGAACCTGGGCTATAATCTCCTGTCCTGGAACAAAATTCAAACATAAATCAGCCTCCACTGTATTTTTAACCACCTACAAAATTCTTCATTTCCTGCCTGTGATACTTCTGACAATGAAAGATTTCATTCTCCCCACTCCAGCTCTGAGAAGGTGCCCTTAGGGCAGTGGTAGGGGTCTAGGCCGGGGCCCTATGGGTCCGGCAAGCCCACAATGGGGCTAGGATGGAAGAATAGACCTAGGGGTCTCCATGACCAATTTGCCAGGGCTGTGGCTAGCCAATACAGTGCTTTTGTGCAGGGTTGAAAAGGGCACCCCCTGCACAGGAAACCCTTGGGTTCCCACCTGGAGTCCCGTCTCAACTTACCCAATCTCATTTATCCTCCAAGACCCATAGCCTCCACAAAGCCACCCCAAATACGCATGGCGTTCTTTTTTTACCCTGAGCTCCTAATGCATCAACAGTAAGTACCAGACAGCTGGCTTTTAATTATATGTTGTCTGGCATTCACTATTTCATGTTGTCAGTCTGTTTCTCTAACTAAATTGATAATATCTTGAGGGTAATGATTGCTTCTTGTTTTATATGTCCACCTTACAGTAAACGAGGGTGCCTTATATCTGGGCACTTTACAAGTAACTTGGTCGTTAAAAAAAGAATCCTAGGGTTTCTAAGTTGTCTAGTCTCCCCAGTGTGCCCATTTCACAGACAAGAGAATTGAGAGCCAAAGAAGAGGCTTGACCTGCCCAAGGTCAGGAAGTGAGAACCTGACCTGGCCAGGAGTGAATCCAGGTCTCCTGTTTGCCAGTGTGGTGCTTGATTTCCATTAAAAATTTAGCTACAAAATTCCCAAACAGACAGTTCAGGACCACAGCCCACTGGAGAACAAAGACAGACAGACAGACAGACAGCCAATGGTAATTCATCTGCATGTGGGCAGAATTTCCGGCACAAAGCCAGGCCAAGCTGCATTAGGCTCTGCAAACAGCCCCCATGGGAATCAAAGCTGGTCTCTGAACATACCAGGGGGTGAAAGGACCTCAGTGGGTTACCTGGGGTTCTTTCAACCTCCCCAGCATCACCGTCTGCAATGTCTGGGCACATGAAACCCACAGTTGATGATCTCAGCAGGAAGGATGAGTAGAGAGGTGAAGAGGGCATCTCCTCTCTGAATAGAGTGAACATTAGTGGCTGCCTTTTGCAGTAAACTACACATCCTTAATAACAGGAAATAAACCTAAACTCCTAACAGCAGATGTTTAACAATAATATCAAAGTTGACAGAAACTAGTATCAAAACAATAGCAAAAAATATGAATGGCAACAACTGCTAAGCAAAACCCTATAGCAAAAAGCTGGCAGCAGGTGCCTTAGTCTTGCTATCTCTCCTGGTCACTCACAAACCACAGTTCCAACCACTTAGTATTTCTCACAACCCTGTAAGCCTGACATGACGAGCTTGTTTTATAGTCATGGGAATCAAGGCTCAGCAAGTTTAAGTGTTTGCCCCCAAATCACACCACAGCTAAGTGGCAGAGCTGGGACTGGAATCCAGGTCAGCCTCACTCCAAAATTCCCCCTTTTACTACAACCCATGTAGGCTCTCATTCCAGCTTCAATTCAAGCATTTTGTCCCATTAGCAGATACATGGGACAAGCTTTGGTTTGGAAAATCCAAGGCTCCTTGGGGAGAAAGATGACAGCTTGCCCATCAGTTCACCGGGAGTGGGGAAGAGAGACAAGGGACTAACATGAAGCACACCCATGGCTTTTTCTTGTGCCAAACAAATGCAGAAGGAATCACTTTTAAAAGAACACTATGTTTTTCCTTCTCTTCTCACCTCCCCTGGGCCTGTGCCTATGATAATTGGGAAGCAGAGAGTCTGGTTTTTCTGGGATCAGAACCAAAGCTATGAAGAGTGTTCTGACAATAAATGCTGTTGATTGACAGTTGATGGACAGTGTTCTAGAGTAAGTTTCTCCTGGGCTGGGTGTTAAGCCAAGAACTGCACTAAACAACTGCTCAACAGCCTGCTTCTTGTTCAGATAGAATTTACTACACTATCCTGATGTGGGCCTCAGTCAGGCAGCCAAGTGAGATGGTATCTCAGGTTCCCTCCAGCTCCATCATTCAATGACTCTATCAAGAAGAGAAAACAGACCTGAAAAGACTTTTCCCCCCAAACACTGTCAAGGTTATTATTCACACACAGAAACACAGACTCCAACAGAGAGATAACTGCTCAGAAAATAAGAAGCTGCAATGCCATTCTCATACTCTTTGACCCAATAATTCCACTTGTGTGAATTTATCTTAAAGAAATAATTCAGAAGGACAGACCTATGTACACAAAGATATTTGCTTTAGCATAATTTGGTGGTAACATCCAATAAAATAATACAAGAATAAGATGTGTTCACTTGGTGGCCACATACCCCACTGCAAATGTTGATTTCAAAACATGGGGAATGGGACTTCCCTGGTGGTCCAGTGGTTAAGAATTAGTACCGGAAGATTCCACATGCCACGGGACAGCTAAACCCACGTACCACTACTACTGAAGTCTACACACCCTGAAGCCTGTGCTCTGTAACAAGAGAAATCAATGCAATGAGAAGCCTGTGCACTATAACTAGAGAAAACCTGTGCTCAGCAATAAAGACCCAGTCTAGCCAAAAATGAATATAAATTTAAAAAAAAATTTTTTTTTTAAGCTTTAAAAAAAGCAGGTGGGAAAACATCTATTTCAAATATCCATTAATGAGTCATGAAATAAACTTAATAGGTCTCCTGCCACTAGGTTTTTTCAGTTGAACAGACTGGATTAGAAGACATTTGAGTGCCTCACAGGTGGTAAAGGTGTTTATCGGGAAACATTAGTTTTGGTTATATGGGTAACTGGGTTACCATACAAAATTGAAGCCCAGTCAAAGCATTTCAAAGGACGTGGGCCTACAGCATACTGTACGGACAGGACTGAAAGTGAAAAGTGAAAGTCCGTCGCCCGAGTCCAGCTCTTTGTAATCTCAAGAACTGTAGCCTGCCAGGCTCCTCCGTCCATGAAAGTCTCCAGACAAGGGTGCTGGAGTAGATTGTCAATTCCTTCTCCAGGGGACCTTCCAGACCCAGGGATTGAACCGGGGTCTCCTGCATTGCAGACAAATTCTTTACCGTTTGAGCACCAGGGAGGTACGACAGGACTACAACAGCATAAAATACGATCTGAGACCAGGCCCGGACCAGAATACACGGAAACAAAGACAGGAACTGCACTGAGTGGTAGGATAAAGGAAGCTGCTTTTCACTTAAAAGTCTTCTGTGACGTTTGTAGGCTGTTGCTGTTACAATAAAACAAAAATGAGAACAAGACGAAAAGGAGGAATGAAGCACTTCGAGGTGAAGCAGTGCTTCAGTATGGGCCTTGAAGGTCCATAAGGAAGAAATGACAGAATTGAAGGGATGGGAGCTGGCTTCCTCAAACAGGGCAAAGTGGTCCCTAAAAGGCTGAAGGGAACAGATGACGATGCGGTGAAAAAAATAGCGTCTCTTGTGCTGTAAAGTGGCTTTGAGTAAGAAAGGAATGGGATAGCTCCACCCCTAGGCGGGCCATCGTTCCTTCCGGACCAATCCAGGTACTCTCTCCCCACCGCCCTCTACGCTGAGGCCGCAAAGAAAAGTTGCCCCTCACAAACATGGCTGCACCAAGCTGGCCACGCCCCTCAGCTAGATGGCGACCGCCAGTAGTCCCGCCTCCCGCCACGTCGGCGGCCAATGAGGGAGAAGTACGAGACTTTGCACATGCGTGGCACCACCAGTGGGCGCGTCCAATAATGACTTCGGGAACCCGTCGAGTAACATGACTAAAAAGAAGCGGGAGAATCTGGGCGTCGCTTTAGAGGTGAGGGGAGAAACGAGGGCTGCAGCAAGCCGTGAACTTCTCCCCGCGGCGGGTAGTGGGTCGGCCGGGCTACTGGTTGGAGGAGGGAGTTGGGGGAGGAAATGAGAGCGACGTGGGTTTGGGAGAGGGACGCGAGGGTGAGAGACGGCCCGCTGGGAGAATCGAAGGTTGCATCTGTCCTTGATTTTGAACCGAGGGGTCGTGAGAGGTGGGAAGAGAAGGTGAGGGGACTCCCGGAGGGGAAGAGGCTCGCGGGTAAGGGGAGCCCCAAAGAGGGCGCGGTAGGGAGATTTGGAGGCCCTGAGAGGAAACGTTTAAGTGAAAGGGGGAACCCAAAAGGGGCGGGTACTCGGAAGTGAGGGGATCCCCAAGGCGTAGAAATCTGTAGATGAGGGGACCCCCGAAGGTGAGGGACCCCATACTGTTTAGTATATTACTGGTGGCCTGAGATGGGGAATTTTTCTTCTGGGGTACTGAAGCATGAAGCTTGAAAAGTACTTTGTGGGAATCTGTAGAGGATTCTGGAATGGTGATGTTCACAAAGAGCTTACAAGTAACTGCATATGGAAGGGAAAGAAAATTGATCCCTGTCGAGCAACTGCTGTTTGTTACTTTATTTGCATTCCTGGTTAACCCTCAGTACAAGCCTGTGAGATTTTTACAGATGGGGAAACTGAAGTTTCGAGTAGAGCCTGAGCGGAAATGGTTGAGGGGGCCCAAAATCAAGCACAGGTGATTTGCCTTCTGCGGCATCTTGTTTCTCCCGTTTTATGGTACCCTTTGATCATCCTCCCAGTGGTTGCAGGAAAAGTCCTGGGTACTTGTCTTCTTGATGAAATGATGATGAGATATAGCTCAGTCGTGTCCAACTTTTTGCGACCATATGGACTGCAGCCTATCAGGATCCTCAGTCCATAGGATTTTCCAGGCAAGAATACTGGAGTGGGTTGCCATTTCCTTCTTCTTAAACTTACTCCCAGTTCAGTGGTTCTCAGTCTTAAGAATGCATTAAGGATCTTGTTAAAATGGGGAGTTGAATTATCCCCTATCCCAAGTAATTCAGTATGACTTGGGTGTGTATTTTTAACAAAGAATCTATTTTTAACAAGCTACACCTATGCTTAATGCAGGAGATTTTAGTACCACTGCTTGAGAAATATTGGTCTACTCAGTAGGGAACAAGGCTGGTGGAAAAGTGAATCTTGTATTGGGATGGCCAAAAATTTTGTTCGAGTTTTTCTGTAAGATGTTGTGGAAAAACACAAACAAACTTTGGGGAGACTGGGTTCAATCCCTGAGTCGGGAAGATCCCCTGGAGAAGGAAATGATGACTCACTCCAGTATTCTTGCCTAGAGAATTCCACGGACAGAGGAGCCTGGCGGGATACAGTTTGTGGGGTTGCAAAGTGTCAGATACAACTGAGCGACTAACACACAATAAAATCAAATATAGATGCTAAAATGAGATGGCACTCTGAAATAGGAAGAGCCTAGACTTTATAGCCTATATATTAGGGCATGATAAACTGGTGTAACAAAGAAATCCCCAAATTTGGGGTTTTGTTTGTTTATAAAGATCAGATAGTGAAGTTTTTTACTTTATGGGCTGTATGGTCTCGGTTGCAACTACAGTTGACCCTCATTGTTCACAGATTACGTATTTGTGCATTTGTCTACTTGCTAAAATGTGCTTGTAACCCCCAAATCAATACTTGAAATGCTTCTGTAGTAATTACCAAACTGACTCAAAGCATTGAGATTTGATTCACCTGAGACACACATGTCCAGTTACAGTCAAACAAGGCGATAGTGTGTCTTATTTTTCCATTCTTATGTGTGCTATGAACAAGTGTCCTTTTTCTGGTCTATTTAGTGCCAAGTTTCTTGCATTTTTGTGTTTTTTGTTGGTGATTTTGTGGTTTAAAATGGCCCTCAAGTGTAGGGCTGAAGTGCTATTTAGTCTTCCAAAGTGCAAGAAGGCTGAGACACGCCTTATGGAGAAAATGTGTGTGTTAGATTAGCTTTCTCAGGCATAGTTATAGTGCTGTTGGATGTGAGTTCAATGTTAATTAATCAACAATATGTATTAAATAAGGTCTTTTTAGACACAAACACACAGGGTTTTGTATTGCTCAGCTGATAAAAATGTGACCAGAGGCTCTCTGGAACCTAACCTGGTTCAGTATTTGCTAATTTTTTGTTGGCAACTTTTTAGAACATAACTACCAAAATAATGAGACTCAGCTATACTTTAAAAAAAAAAAAACTAAGCACAAAAGCAGCCATAGGCAGTATGTAAACTAATGAGTGTTCCAATAAACCTTTATTTACAAAAACAAGTCATACATCCAGTAAAACTTTTATTTACAGAAACAAATCGTGGACCCACAGGCCATTGTTGGCCAACTCCTGGTCTAGGGTACCAGAATAGTAGTGGTTCTACCATATTCCTTCCATCTTGTGATTCTATCCCCCATGTTGTCACCTCGTGAATGAAGCTAGGTTGCACCACATTGAAGTGTTCACAGGAAAGATAGAGTAGAGGAAGCACACTCAGTGTCTTAAGAATACTGGACCCAAAGTGCCCTCTTCCCATTGGCAAAGATTGCAGCTAAGCTGCAAGGCCCTTCACCACCTAGGAGACCATGTGCCCAGCTAGGGCTCCATTGCTGTGGAAGAAGATGTAAGTGTATTTTACTGTACAGCCTGAGTCTCAGCAGACTACATCTTACCTCACAGGGTAGTTTTGAGGATTAAATGAGAGAGTATTTGTAAAGTAGCACATGTGACACACAGTGGATGATCAATAAACAAGGCTTTCTTTAAGTTGTGGCATGCACACTCTTAGTTGCAGCATGTGGAATCTAGTTCCCTGACCAAAGATGGGACCTGGGCCCCCTACATTGGGAGCTTGGAGTCTTAGCCACTGGACCACCAGGGAAGTCCCGGATTTGAGTTTTAAAAGTGTTCTGAATGTGGTGATGTGCCTGCTGTCCTAGTGCCTTATACCAATCAGTTTTGCCTGCTTTTTATTAACCTGTCAATGTCAATGTAAGTATTTATCCTGGTCATCTTGATGACTAAGTTACTTTTGTTTGGATATTCTAAGGTTTGGGCTCTGCAGCTGTGCACATGAGAAAAAACTTAGCTTCTGGCTGTCTCCTCACCTTGCTTCTCCTTTGCCCCTTGCAGATCTGAGTATTGAATGTGCACTGGTGTCCAGGAGCAGCAGATATTGTCCTGTTATTAAAAGTCGTGTGCTCTGAGCCAATGAAGTGGTGATTTAATAAAAAATGTTTGTTAATCTGACGAGTGCAGTAAAACCCCCACGAGTGAGTGATTTCAGCACCTGCAAACAGTCTCCACTTGCTGTAATGAAGCAATTACTGAGCAGGCAGCACTCCCCCTGAGGGCTGGCTCGGGCCAGCTGGACTGGACAGTCACCTCCCAGGACACCAAGGCATCTCTCACCCTCCCCCACTTGTGGCTCCTTTCAAAGCCTTTTTATCCAACTCGTGTGCCATCTTATGAGATGTCAGATTTGGGGAAAAACTGGCTACCGAGTTTTATTCTGAATAACAAGAGAGAATTATAATTCAGATGAGAAATCACCAGCTCTGGTACTGATTTTCAAATTGTGTGGGAGGAGGGAAAGATTGTATTTCCATCTAAACTGATAGACTGATTCTGGCTGAGGGAAAGGTTGCATTTCAGTCTCAATGGATAGGATTTTGGCTCACGTAAAACCTGTTTGTTTTTTAATTTCTGATAGTAATGACCTGTTATTTGGTCATTGTACTTTCCCGCCACAGCTGGACCATTCACCTTGGTGTCTTTAAATGTTTCAACAGTCTTTTTTTTTTTTTTTAACAGTCTTAAGTTAACAGATGTGCAGTGTCTTGGCTGACATTAAGAAAGTTGGATCTGGTGCCCAGTACCAAAATCTATCAGTTTGGGAAACTTTTAAGCTACAGGTTACAGAAAACTGACCTCAGTGACCTAAAAAAGCAAGAATACACTTTTTTTCCTCCCATCACAAGAAATTTGGAGCTAGGTAGTTACTGACTTTGGTTCAAAAGGTCAGCTATGTCAGGGCTGCTGTTTCTGCATTTTCTTAGCTGTTTCCTCTATTCACAAGATAGCTGCCACAGCTCCAATCATCATATTCAACTTAAAGTCAGGGAGAAAAAAAAGGAACTATGACGCTCTTTGTCCTTTTTATCAGTGAAGCTTAAGCTCTCTTGGGAATCTCCCAGCTGACTTCTGGATCATCTCATTGCTTAGAACTGGAACATGACCACTTCTGGCTGCATAGAGGCTGGAAAAGTATCTTTGAGCTTTTCTAACTTCTATGGTGGCATGCAAAGGAGGAGGGGTTGGGAATCAATGTTGTATTGACCAACTAACAGTAACTGCTAGTTGGGAATAAAAGTGAGTGGTAGTCATTTAAAATTCACTGGAATTCTCATCAGAAAAAGAGACCAGGATCAGTGATGGTGAAAGACAGGTGGTAGGATGAGAGCAAAAATTGACCAACGCAGGATGAGCACCAGGAGGAGAGAAGCCTGGACATTTGTGTGTTTGTAGTGTCAGCTGCCGCTGTGAACTCCCTGAGGGTAGTGAGAGACAGCAGCACTAAGTGTGGATGAAGACGGTCTCAGTTCTGGAACAGGCTGGGTACAAGGCTGATGGGAACTTACCAACTTTCTAAGACAAAGGTTAGAAGCAGCCTAGTGGGCCATCAATATTTACTGAATCGGCCTTGAGAGACTAGAGGAGGCATTGAACTCTCCCCTCTGACTTCTGGGCCCAGTTGACTGGTTCATCGGTCAGAGGTCAGGAGGCCAAAGTGGAGCAGGCAGCTGGACACCGCCTTGCTGGCTGCCGCCCAGCCAGGAGCTAGGAGAAAGGCTTGAGGCCTGTGGACACAGTTCAAGGGCAACTGACCATTAAATAAACCTCACCTGCTGCCAGGCACAAGCGACAGGTCACCATTGGGCATGTGCTTTCTCTTGGGCAGACTGTGTCTGGCTCCACTCCACTTGACGGGGGTCAGGAGACTAAAACCTCATTACCTAACGCGGCTGGATGTCAGCGTGTGTGGAGTGGCTGTTTGCCAGCATCTTAATTAATGAATTCATAAGGCGCGGGGTGGATGCCAATTCTTAAAAAGGGCTCTGAGCCTTTTAGCGATGAAGAAGCTTTTGCTAATTTATCAAAAACTATATATTGGGGGAAAGAAGAGAAAACAAGGCTCAGACGGTGTTCTGGCCTAGGACAACCGAAGGCTTCAGGCACAGACTGACATGGCTCTGCTTGTGAGCTGCTCAAAGGCCAGGGGGTCCCAGAAGGCTTCAGAGCTTGCGAGGGCTTCAGCTGGGCCCCCAAGTTCCTGACCTGGGGCAGGGAGTGACTCTGCAGAGAAATGACAAGCCCCTTAGCTCTCTGCTTTTCCTGAAAATTGTTCATTGATTAAAAACTGGGTGGGTTTGCTGTCATCTGCCCATCCTAGGAGAGAAACTTCTGATGATTTGGGAGCCGTGGTGGAGGTTTTTGTTTTCTACCCTCAGAAAACAAAAGAGCCTCCTCCACAGAGAAACATCCCTTAGGGGCCATCAGGGTAATCTGTCCTCTGGGGTTTGAGGCTGGTCACAAGGGCCCGTGACCCTTGTGTGTGTTGGCTGTGTGGCCTCAAGGCCCCAGATGGGAAGCTGGAGACCATCTGGGCTGGCCGGCTGGCTTCTCTCCCCATCATAATACACGTCCTGGGGCTTCCCTGACGTGTGAGAATGAGTGGATTTCCAGAAATCCAGTTCCCGTATTACTGGGGCTGGAGATGAAACAGGTGACCGCACTCTTTGGGGTGTGGGTTGTTAACAAGTAAGAAGAAAGGCTGTGGGGGAAAGGAGGTTTTCAGGCCCAACTCGCCCACCTTTTTCCTTCTCAGACGCATGTTCTGTGTGCTTGTCAGGGTGCTTTGGCAGCATAGGTCATTTGGGGGAGGGTGCCTCGGATGTCTGAAGCTCAGAGTTGGAAGGTAATAATTGCCTTCAGTGTGAGGACATGCTGGGCTCCCATCTCACTGTCTCCAGGCAAACAGATTTCAGTCAGGCTCTTCCCTCACAGCGAGTATCTGTTATGTGGACAGAAACCAAGCAAAGCCCTTGTACAAGATTATTCAGAGCAGAGAATCTGTTAAAGCCAGATCAACAAGCTTAGATGGGCTTCAACTGGGATGTGTAATGATTTTGTTCCACAGAACCCTTCTTTGTCATGAATGTTTTCATGAGGGATTTTGGTGAAAGAGCTTAAAGTGGTGGAAGGAGCATGAGCTCTGAAGCAGAAAAACACCGATTCAGACCCCAATTCTGCCACTTCCCAGCGCTATGACCTAGATCGGTTTGCATAAATGTGCAGGAGTTTGCTCTTCTGTAAAAAGGGGAAAGTTCCTTTCTTGCAGTGTCGATGCAGACTTTGGGGAGCATGCGGGAAGCTGCCCACAGACTGGCCCAGGGTGTAAGTGGAGGTTTCACCTGAGACCTGAAAGTGGCTCCAGGCTGGTGACTCACAGCACCAACTCCCACCACCCACTCCCTCGGGTGCCGGCTGTGTGACCCTGGACAGGTTACTTCAGCCCCGTGGCCCAGGTTTCCTCATCTGCAGGATGTGGATACTGACATTTCTCACCACCCAGGGTTATTGTGAACGTCCTGTGAAGGAGCCGTATGAGGCGTTTAGAGCAGTGCCTGCTCCCGAAGTGTTGGCTACTACCAGGATTACTGTGGACTCTCGCCTTCCAGGGGCTGCTCTGACTGGCGTGCTGCCATCCAGACACATGTAAGTCCAGGATTTGAATTGGGCTCAGGTACCTTGACACCATGCTCATTATTAAGTCTTGGTGCGGGGAGGATCTGGCCAGGCTGGTGCAGGATATGCCCCGTGACCGCTGCTTGACCCCTTAACTCATTCCTGGCCCCTTGTCATTCATAGCCCAGAAGCTCCTAACAGCAAGGCCAGCAAGACCGGAAATGACTTCCTAAACTGGAAAGCACAGTGGCGTGCCTGGCAGCACCAAGCCCCAAAGGTGCCTCTGCCCTTTTCCAGCAAAAGTCTGCCCTTTTCCAGAAGAACATCTGGCCCTGACAGTGGCTCCTTAGGAAGTGGGCAGGGCCATCTCCTGGACTGTCAGGATGCTTCTGGGAGCACCACTCAGCACCTTCAATAGGAGAATCTTCAGTGGGAGAGCGACAGCCTACAGCTCGTGCTTGTTGGCCGTCCTGGAACTGGCCTGACCAGGGTGCTGGGTGCTTATCCTTCCCTGCCCCCAAAGGGGCCGCTTCAGGACCAGGAGGCGCCACACTCCTGAAAAGATGCCCCCTGGGGATCCTGGGAGAATTTTACAGTTTCTCTTAACACAGTGGTTTTATGGCATATAGGACCCCAGGGAGACTTCCCTAAAGCTGTGAGAATAGGGTGTTATTCCCCGAGTCAGGCAGCAGAGGTGGTTTTGCTTAATACTGAACTGCCTTTAGGGCACCCAGAGCTGCTTCTGACAGAGGGGCCCTGGTCCAGGTGCCGGCCAGCAGGGCTGGGGCCAGCTTGGCTGGGGCTGGGCCCTCTTCTGACCTTAGTGTCAGTCTGCCTTCAGAACTCCATGATCTGCTGCAGGAAACACCCCCGCCTCTGGGGAGAATCCTTGGTCTTACAGTTCTCACTGAGCCTGCTCCTCTGCCCACTCTCCAAGCCACTGCCCAGCCTCCAACTCCCCAGCCCGAGCTTGGGTAAGAAGGCAGCAGTTCCTGTTCTGACTGTGGAGGAATCCCTCATGGGCCTTTCTGGTTAAAGTATTGAGTTGGCCAGAAAGTTCATTCAGATCTTTTCATAAGATGTTACAGAAAAACCTGAGCAAACTTTTTGGCCAACACAATATAGACTTTCAGGCTCCTGTCTCCAGGACCTTCCCTGGGGCCCCCAGCTCCCCCCAGATTGAGAGATGCTCCCTCCCTTTCTCCCCCTCCCTTCTTCCCCACCACTGCTCAGACCGGCAGTCTCCATGGGCAAGTTTTAGCCACTGCTGGTCTAGGGGTCAAGAGCAGACTTTACTGTCAGGACACGCTGCCTGTTCACCACCTGTTTCCCGGCCCCCTGAGCTGCTTGCACTCAGGTTTACACAACACCCAGCGGGTGCTGGGCGCTGTGTGACGTGCCAGAAAGCAGACAGTGGTGTGGAGCCCACACCGCTGCCTCACTGACTCCTCAGACCCCTGTGCGGCCATGCCTCGCCTACTGACTTAGACATGCTGTTCTCTTCCCCTGTGTTAAAACGGACACTTGACCTTCTGAGTATAAATGTAACGCGTGGACATTTCTCTCGTCCATGTTACTGTCCTCTAGGGGCATCCACTCTCTGCTCCCACACAGCCTGAGTGAGCGCCTGCCTCAGTGCCCACCGTAGCTGTTCTGTACCTGTGAGAGTCACAGCCAGCAGTGCTGCCGCAGACCGCTCCAGGGAAGTCCCAGAACTGAACCAGTGGGGCAGCCAGGCTCCTCCTGCTGAATGCCTACTCTCTAGCCTGTTGGGCAGGAGTCCCAGGAGCCTCCCTGGCCTCCGGAGTATTATCTTCCCTTCCCGTTGGAGTTGGTCGGATCTCTGATGGAGCCTCTTTCTACCTGAAGTCCTGGGCTTTGCATTCCTGCTTCTAGTTTGGCTGAGCACCTGGCCCCAGAGAGCCATGGTTTCAGTGATTGAACCTGGGCGCCAGCTGCCAGCCCCCACCTGCTATTCCTCATCTTCTCAGATGCCTGCCGGGGTTCAGACCACACTTGAGTCTGTTCTGCCCCTAGCCGCTGCTCTTGGCCTCTTGACCTCGCTTCCACCAGGCCCAACCTTTACAACATGGCACTGGCTCCAGACCACCGCAGGTTCATCCCAGGGCAGGGTCATAAAGTCCCCAGTGTGCCGCGTCCCAAGCCAGCTGGGGAGGCTGTTCTGATGTCCGACCCTACAGGCCCTGCTGACCCTCCGTGGATAGGACGGCCATACCTGAGCCGGGGGGCTCCCCTCCCGCCGCTGCCAGCCAGTGACCAACGGGGAGTTAGCTCCATTGCACCCCCATTTCTCACTTCTCTTACTCTTGCCACAAATTAACTCAATTTTCTTTTTATTCCCTAAAGATCTAGTTGAAAACCATCCTCTAATAATGATAACAGACACTTGTTAACCCTTCACTGTGTGTGAGAGGCACTGTTCTAATATTAATACCTCGCATGTATTGCTTTGTATCATCTTCACAACTCTTGGAAATAGGGAACATTATTACCTTTGTTTTACACATGAGTAAACTGAGGCACAGAATTAAGGAAGTCACCTAGACATACAGCAAGTGACTGGTGAGTCTAGTCGCCAGATTACAGCCCTTGCTCCCTATTACCACACTTCTCAGGAACTACAGCTTCAGGCCTCTGGGCACTTGGGCTTCCAACTGCTTGACTGATTCCAGCTCTGACCCTTATGCTTCCAGAATCTTCTTGACATTTGTCTCTTTATTCTGGTCCTAACCCATGTTATCTCTCCTGGTCCTAGCTGTCTTGTCCTCTGTTCCCTTCAGCCTGGTGGCAGAGAAGGAGGAGGCTGATCAAAGACTATAGATTTGTTTGAGGGAATCTGCAAAGTGAGTTACCTGTGTGCTTATTGCTGACTGAAAAGCCAGAACAAGAGGTTGGTTTTCAGTTTGCGTCCTGGGTGCTCTCCCCTGTTTTCCAGTTCCGTCTTGCGGGACTAGGCCTGCTCGGTGGACATCACCCCCTGACTCCAGTCACAACTTAAAAGATGCATCTTGACCCTTCCTCCCAGCCTTATCGGCAGCCAGTAGGTCACCAGAGTATGTATTTATTTATGGCTGTACCGGGTCTTCATTGCAGTGAGTGAGGGCTACTCTTTGTCTCAATGTGCCAGCTTCTCACTGCGGTGGCTTAGTTGCCCCATGGCACATGGAATCTTCCCAGACCAGGGACCGAACATATGTCCCTGCATTAGCAGGCAGATTCTTAATCACTGGACCACCAGGGAAGTCCCTAGGTCACTAGAACTTTTGCACCCACTGTTACGGCTGCTTGAGAACTGGCTTCTGCTTCAGCAAGTGCTGCAGGGTGTTGGACTGCGGGGGCGGGGGCACCTTCTGCGGATGGGTCTGAGGCCTGCTGAAGAGCCTCGCGACAGTCCAGACTGCCCTCACTCTGCCCACAGCAGGCAGCTGGGTTTAAAAGAGAATTTGATGTTTAGAAGGGAATCAGAGAGAGCTGCAGCGGGACATAAATATTCATGGAGGGAGGTTAGAACTCGAGTCCCTAAAACCTTGATTTGTGTTAGTCTGTTTATGCTCATTAAAAAGTGGTAAGTGAAAGTGGGGTATTCATGGAACTGCAGATAAATTGGACTCGTTCAGATAAAGGCCTCCCAGCTGCCAGCTCCACAGGCCCTGCCTAGAGCGTGACAGCAGACTGGTGTGCCCACTTGTGGTTTGCCAACCTCAATTTAAAGATTTTGCTTAGCATGATGAGTTCCTGGCTCCCGGTAGCATTGTAGAGGTGTTTAGGGATGGAAAGCCCCGAAATTCGTCCGCAGAATGACATGCAAACCAGGGTCTGGCCAAAGGGTGGCAGGGAGAAATCTGACCTAGCAGTAATACTTGCATGGGGTGGTCCACAAAGTATATCATCTACGTGCATGTACCACTGCTTCTCCTAGCTTCTTTCCGCTTCTGTGGGCATGAGGGGAGGGTTTCAGACTCTGGGTGCTACACGAGGCCCAGCCCCACTCATTCCTCCAAGGCTACAAACACAGGGACTGCAGCAGGCCAGGCCTTGTAGTAGCCACAGAGAGGAGACAGATGGCCACCACGCCTTCTAGGGCAGGAGCTACACAGTCAGCCTTCCTTAGAGGCCAGGCATCACGCACTTAAGTGGAGTGGGTTGATATAGGCTGGACGTGACCCTGGGATGCAGATTTACATCATCTACCCAGGGGGCTCCCGGAGTTTGGCAAGATGAGGCTTGGACACCCACAGCTGAATGACATAATATGCGCTTGGCTTCATGAGAAAAGGATTGGCTAATCTGCCCTTCAGGGAAGAAGGCAGTACCTCTCCAGCCAAGGGCCACAGAAAAGGCCTCATGGAGGAGAGAGTGCATCAAGAATTAAGCTTTGTGTGGGATAGAATTTGGTGCCCTGATTTTGGTTTCTGCACCAGGAAATGGAAATCAGAATTCTTAGGGCCTAAGGGGCGGCTGTGTGTGTTGGGGGTGCTGCTGTGACGGGCGGGCCTCACGGTGCCTGTCACCTGTTCCTCCTGGCTCCGTCTCCGCTAACCTTCACATCAGGCTGTTTCCATTCCCTGAGCCTGGCTCCCCAGCGCTGGTTTCCCTACAGTGCAGGTTCAGGACGCCCTTTGGCCTCCCCAGACACAGGCCCCATCTCCTGCCTAGGGCTGTTCCCAGGACAACACTCCCTTTGGTACCCACTAGCAGGAAATGACACAATTAACCAAGCAATTAACTCAAAGCTCTGCGGTGGCTCCCTCCCACAGAGCCCTGCTTCCAGAGCTGGAGTTGGTGGCAGCTGGGGCTGCAGGGAAGCGGGTAGTTGGTGTGTCCTTTGGGCTGAGCGCTGGGACAAGGGAAGAGGCTGATCCAGAGGGACTGGGGTAGGTGCGGGCCAGGAGGAGGGGCTGAAGGTCCAGAATCTTCAAGGGCAACTCGACACTGTCCCCAGAACACCAGGGATGCCAGCACTGGTCTGCGCAGCCATTGATTTCCATCTGTACAGGGGCCACTCCAGAGAGGACTGGAGCGGAGGACTGGCTGAGACCTTTAAGGAGAGGGGTGTTCTACCTGACTTCTCAGTAAAGTCCTTCCATTTGGGGGACCCATTCTCCCATTTGTGAAATCGAAGTGGTATTTGCTATCCCTCCCAGGGTTGTGGTAACAGTGAGTGAGGTCATACGGAAAATCAAGCATGAGCTGAACCCAGGGCACTGTTCAGTCAGCTGCCATGAGGGATACAGGGCCCTCTGCACTCCCACCCACTGCAGTCTAGGCTCCACCAGCAGGGCAGAGGCGCAAGAAGCAGCAGGCCCGGACCCAAAGAGGTGGCCGATAAGACACCTGGAGACAGATGGAGACAGGTGAACTTTCAAAGCCCAATGCGTGACACCAGGACCCTGGACGATCCAGTCTAGTATTTCATAAAACATTTCCCCATAATTCAGATTATTTCCCCAAGAACACATCTCTGAAACTATAATCAAAATAAATGGGAGAACTGGCACCCTTGGCATGTAGCCTTTCTGGAGCTTAACTATTTTACCACACGGTACAGCTACCTTGATGCTGGTCAACGCTTTTGCACAAAAACCAAGTCAGAAAGAAACTTTTGATCTGTACTTTCAGTAATTTTTATTGAATCTCATGGGAAAATGTGTATTATTACAACTGGGGTTACTTAAATTGAAGTGTACCAATGTGAACAAATGCCTCTGCTTTTTGGCCCCTAGATGTCTAATCATGCGTGGAGTGCTTTGGAAAGGCAGAGACTTCCCATATCACCTCATTGATTCTAGGCTCCGCCTGTGTAGCAGAACCTGCCACATTCAGGGCTCTGGTTGCTCCTGCTGTGGGGCCCAACTGGGGCCTGTGCTGGGGACACAGCTGACTGAGGGGCTGCTCCTGTCTGCCCCATCCCATGCGTGGCCCACTGGGTCAGGGCAGCTCAGAGACCCTGAGCAACGCTCACAGGTGTTTCCAGCCGGGCTCAGGCTGTACCACGTGAAGGCAGAGGACAGCAAAGCATAGGTTTGGGGTGTGGATGCTGTTCTAAGACTCCTGGAGACGCCTTCCTCTTCATCCCAGGATCCCAGCTGTCTTGAAAACTGGAAGACTCTGCTACCCATCTGTACCTGCTGGGTGTGCTGTGTCTTTCAGATCGATGGGCTGGAGAAGAAGCTGTCACAATGTCAGAGAGACCTGGAGATCGTGAACTCCAAGCTCTGTGGGGCGGAGCTGAGCTCAGAGGCCAGGTGATGCTCCTCCCCATGTCCCCCACCCCTTTGTATCTGTCCTGGTCCTGACCCTCAGCTTCCATCCCTCCCCTCCCCCTGCCTCCAGAGACCTGGGCCCTTGTTCCTCTTGTCCACCCTACCCTGGCGTGCCCACTGCCCCTTAGGTGGGAAAAAGGCTCGCGCTATTTTGACCTCCCCCTCCGTCCCCCTGCTGCTCACAGGCGGTCTCTGGAGAAGGAGAAAAGCAGCCTGATGAACAAAGCCTCCAGCTATGGTAAGAAAGCTCCTTCCCACTGCCAGCCCCACCCTCCAGTCCCAGGACCAGGAACGGGCAGACAGCCTGGGGAGCCCACAAAGCGATGGGGGTCAAGGGTGCACTTCAGGAGGGGGCCAGCCCTCAGGAGGCCACAGGGCCCCGCTGAAGGCCCAGCAGCCTAGGAGGGGAGCAGGGCTGCTCCTCTGTTCCAAGAGAGACGGCAAGGCCAGAGGGTCTGTTCTGTCCTCCCCCGTGGGAGGGAGGGGGCGGCTGTAGCCAGGCTGAGATCCCGACCTGGGGGGCCTGTTCTGGCCCTCTCCTTGCAGACTTCCATTCCCTCCCAGGAAAACCTTGAGATGGGAGCAATAGTGGTAGGGCCTTTGGGATCCAGGATGGACAATGAACCTCCCACGTGGGTGCCGTGCAGGGCTGCTGTGGGTGGAGCGATGCTGCCACCTTCTGGGTGCCGGCGCCGCGCCAGGGGGAGCCCACACCCGGCTCAGCTGGAGGGTGGCTGCTGCCCCCCAGCACCCCGCTGCTGCCCTGCCCTGCAGCCTGGGAAGTAAAGGGTCTGCAGAGGCTCCTTGGGCTCTGGTCTATTCACCCCGGGGGGCCAGACCTGGCCCAGGATCAGCCCTAGAATAGTCTATACTCAGGGAACCTCCCGGAGGAATTTGAATCAAGACTATGAGCACAGTGCGTGTCACATACCCCTGCCCGGGGCCTGTCTGGCCTGCCCAAGGCTGGTTTGCACATATCCCCACTCCCTCACACAGGGAGAAATGGGACCTCCGTTTCCCCCTCAAAGCTGGTGGTTTTCACACAAAATTGTAGCATTTATCACCCAGTTTAGCCCTCAGAGTACCAACCACCTGTGTGTCATGAATGGACACAGTGTGGCTGTGGAGTAGCTGGGCTGGCGTCCTCCAGCGGCATCCTGACCACCCCGTGAGCACAGCCGCTAGTTCCTGCTTAGCTGGGCATCCAGCAGAGGGCAGACTGAGGCGCGGCTTGTGAGGCTCTGCCTTGTACCTACTCCCCGAGGAGGGCCCAGCTGCCCTCAGTCTCTGCTTGACCAGATAGGACGCGCGGAGGGAGGCGCACCACGGGGCCACCCAGGGACGAGCCGGAGGACCCTCCTGGGGAGGCCGCGCCACCACCTCGCTGGGCTTTCAGGTGTAGCCCTTTTGGTGACTCTCCCACACATGCTGTCTTCGGCTACATTTGGAGAGAAACGGCTGAGCAGCATTGGGGGTTGGGGCTTTTTTGGGCTGAGCACCTATAGCCAGAAGGTGGAGGACACCTGTCCACCACCCTTTTTCCTCCCAGAGAAGGAGCTGAAGTTGCTTCGGCGGGAGAACCGCAAGAACACGCTGCTGTCTGTGGCCATCTTCCTCCTCCTGACTGTTGTCTACGCCTACTGGGCCGCGTGAGGCTGCGATTTCTCCCGTCAGCCCTGGCTTCCCCTCAGCTCTGTGATCACGGCCAGGCAGGCCCTTCGAGCCTCAAGAGGACCAAGGTACAAGGGCTGTTTCTCCCTGACCAAGACATTGGAGCAGGGCTTCCCGTTGGCCTGGCCCCTCTCGCCTCCCATTCCCGCTGTGGGGCTTGGGGCTCCAGAAGGACTTCGTGCTGGCTTAGCCCAGGGGAAAGGCAATAAAGAACCTGTGTGCCGAGGAAATGTCATGACCCGATGGCAGTGGGGTGGCATTCAGGATTCCAGGGAGGAGAGGGGCTGTGAAGGTAAGCCCCCAGCCCAGGTGGGGAATAAGGCGGCAACAAAGCGCCTGCTCAGGCGGAACCACGGTGGGAGCCACGTCGAGAGCTTGGGCTGCTCTGCCCCCATCAGTGCCGGCCTGTGATCACAGCAGAAAAAGTGTAGCCTGTGCGCTGAAGGGCAACCTGGGACTCGTGCTTGTGTGGTGGTCCCACTGGGGGGCAGAGTTAGTCCATGATCCTCAAGAGGCAGCAGGTCTGGTGACGCGCAGCAGAGCCAGTGGGCAGCCGGGGTCACGGTCACGACCAGACAGGCTCACGGTGAGTGGCCAGGAAACCTGCCGGGGTTTGCAGGAGGGGCAAACGCAGGCCACCCCGCCCCTGCTCACAGCCTCTCCTCCAGCAAAGGCGCGGGAGGCTGGAGCAAGGCCGAGTAGGGCAAGCAGCAGGATGCAGGGGTCTTGGGAGCCGAGAACACACCAGTTCAGTCAGAAAAGCAGGAAAAGGCATTGCCCTGGGTGCTCAGGCCGTGGAACGGGAAGGAAGGACCCAGGCGGTGTGTAGGTGGAAGGCTCTAGGGGAGGACCTGCCGGGTGACACGACCCGTGGAGAAACGCGCGCCTAGAGCAGAGGGGGCGAGGCGCCCATGGCCTCCAGTGCAGACGCGGAGCCATAGCTCCCTCCCCGTCCGTGGCACTAACTGGTCTGACGCCTCTGTTGTTTTAGTCACACGGACTGGTCCTGGGTTGTCACAGGCGCCGCTGGGAGTAGCTGAGTGACTGGTGTGAGGGGGAGGGGCCTCCTGGGCTGCGGGGTCTCATTCTCCAGTCCCTGCTTCTCACAGGGGCCACAGTATTTCTGACTCTTCCTTGGGCCCCTCTTTGGCAGCGAGCAGCAGCCAGCCCTGGGAGCCCTGAGCTCAGACACGGCGCTGATTAAACCAACCCTCTCTTCCCCCCCTCTTCACTGAGGAGAGCTTCCTCCCCTTCACCTCCAGCCTCAGCTGTTTCATCCAAGCCAGCCCCAGACCACAAAGCACAGAGGACACACAGCAGCAGCACCAGCACAGAACCACACAGGCGTTAAAAATATGTTTGTCTTTAATGATCCAAGGTTCTGCAAGACACACTGATACCCAGAATTGGGTGGAAATACAGCATCTCAGCGGTGCTGCTGACAACCTGGGGGAGGGGCTAGATGCTGGCTGGAGACCCCTGAGGTGGAGTCAGTTCCAACCTCACGGGAAGCCTCAGTGCCCTCTATCTCCATGGAAACCAGTCTAATACTGGGATGAGGCCCTAGGGAGCCCCTGTGAGCATCTCCGAGAGGTATTTCCCATTACTCCCCTTCTAGAGCTGCCCAGGGTTTACACTGAGAGGGGTGGGGCACAGAAAGGCTCTACAACCCCAGGAAGCAGTCACACCCACCCCCGGACATGCCACCTGCATCCTATGTAGTATCGGACAGAGTCCACATGCTTCCCTTCCCGGCCTGCAGGATGGTCAGAGGTGTGAGCTGGGAAGAACTCCAGGGCAAGGGAGGAGGCAATCTTCTCCAACTTGGCATCAAAACAGAACAAGTTCAAAGAAACAAAACTTTGATTTATATAGCAGCTGCTCCGGCCAGCTCACAACAGTGGGCCTCCTCCCTCTCAGGGTTTGCCCAATAAAAAGCTGGGCAAGGCAGGGGCACGGGCGCCCTCGGGCAATGCACAGAACTCAGAAAAGTGAGTGTGCGCTATGGTGAGAATGGCAGAGCCCTGCTGCCCCCGACATATCCCCCACTGGCCCCAGGTGCCCTGGGCCCTGACTTCGGCCTGCTGTAGGAGCTGACGGAGTCCTGTCTTGCCAGGGCAGACAGTTCCCAGGCAGCACTCCAGGGAGGAAAGTTCAGAGTGTCCCACAGAAGGAACATGTGTCCTCTAAAGGCTCCAACTGAGCTCTTCAGAGGAGCTGGAGGGGCACCGCCCTCAAGGCCGGGCTCGGAAGGACAGGGCGTTGGGCAGGGTGGGTGCGCCCCAGGCCCTCAGGCGCTGTGCGTCTGGATGAAGGAAAGGACATCCTCCTTGGACAGCTTGTCCGGGTCCTGGGGCTTCTGGGATTCGTGCACACGGATGCCATCCCCCCACTCCCAGAAGAGCCGGCCGTAGTAGCAGATGCTGGGGGGAGAGGGGAGGTCAGAGGCCGCACCCAGGGGAACAGGACCAAGAGACCCCCCCGCCAAACCGGCACCTGTGATGGAAACGACTTCCCCTGGCAGCCAAATTCCCAGGAAGCCCCGCTCCTGCCTGCCTTACAGAACCCGCTTTTCCCAACAACACACAGCTTCTGCTGCTAACGGCATCCTACTGGATCCTCTCATTACTGATATTCCTGGCTTATCTGTCTCTCCTGCTCTAACAGAACAGTATTAGTGTGGCAAGACTAATTACAGGCACATTAGGGCTACTGCTGCTGTTGAAACCTATGACCAAGAGTCTGGCAAACAGACACAGGGTCTGAGAGCAAGGCTGTGGGCCTCGCCACGTGCCCACGCCCAGGCCAGGGTCGGCCCTTCACACCCAGGATGCCCACCCAACCTTCACAGCCAGTTCTGATATCACCGTCCTCTCCCTGAGCTCACCGCCCAGTCCCAGACACACCCTGCGGAGACCACCATCCCGCCCATGAGGGAGGCCCCTGCCTGGGCCACAGTGGGTCTCAGGGCACAGGTGTGCCCCAAGAGCTGGCATCCAGGTAGGAGTTCCTGGGGCTGCTGAGGGGGCAGGCCTGGAGGAGGCCTACTTACTGAAATGGAGCAATGGCATCTGCAGGGAGGTCAAAGGTAGAGTTCTTGGTTTTCTTGTTGTGGAAGAACTTCCTCTTGAAGCTTTTACTGAATCCCATTGTCCATGGCTCTGATGGGAGGAAGGGGAAAGAGGCTCAGAAAGGACACACAAGACCCTTGGGGGATGGGTCAGGCCCTCCTCCCTGGTTCCTCCATGCCTCTTCCCCGAATAGCAGCAGAAAACAGCCTGGGAGGACACAGCCCTCATCATCAGCCCAAAGGGGCTCCAAGAGGACGCCTAAGATGACTACTTCTCAGCAACCCCACCTCCCACCAGGGTACCATCTCCGGGACCCTGGCAGAGGGAAAAGGATTCTGTTAGCCAGAGGGCAGAGGATTCAGCAGGATCAAGTTTGTCTTTCTGGATCTGCCACTGCCCATGCGGAAGGCCCTTCTCCTGCCATGAGGACACCACATGTACACATACAAGCTGGGCTTCACTCTCCAGCCCGACCCCCGGGACCACCAAAGACATAAGAGCTCAGGGAAGACAGTCCCCCTCAACATACACCTGGCTCTGCCCACCTCAGTAGGAAGCCCTGAGCGCCAGCCCCGGCGGGGTGTGGGCCAGTCGCCCTGGCTGAGGGAGGGGTCAGGGAGAGGGGCTCATCACCCACCGTTCACTGTCCTGACGATGTAGAGGCCGGTGGGCACGAAGTGCCGGTCGTCACGCCCTGTGTAGCTGAGCTTCGGCGTGCCACTGGAGCCCTTGATGATCTTCATCTCTAACCTTGATTTTCCCGAGCAGGTGTGCAAACAGGAAGTGTGCGTGTGAGAGGCAGTCCTGACGTTAATCTCTGACTAACGTCAGAACCAGCCAACCCAATACTTGAATCTTGGCTCAACGTAAGAGAGACTGAGGCAGAGACTTGAGTTGCTCCAGGTCACACGGTGGGGTGCTGGGCTTAGAACTCAGCCTCTGAACTCCCAGCTGAGCCGTGGAAGCAGGGGAATGGCACACACCTCTGCTGTGTCGCTGTTTGCGGGGTGTCACGGTGACCCCAGCTGGGGTGAGATCTGAAACCCCAAGTGCTACAGGGCCTTCAGTTCACCAGCCATGGTCTCAGCATGGCCACTGAAGAGTTAATTCGGGAGCAGTGAGACCAGGTCTGGCTCCAGTGGCCACAGTGGGCACACCCAGGATGAGCCCCCCAGATGTGAGCACCCCGCACAATGGCTGAGAACACAAGGAAGCACTTAGACCCCTCCAACCCCCTGGCTCAACCCCTCTCGGCACTAGGGGCTTGGATTTATAGTGTTTCAGGCAGCTTGCGCTCTGCCTCTCGTCTGGACACTCATAACTGTTACAGCATCAGTGAGCCCGTATTTCTGCCTGACTTGCACCCGCCCTGCTCCCCTCCTGACGGTGCTGAATCAGCTCAGCCGGGGACCTCTGGCTGCCATGCAGACAAAGGAGGCGGGGGTTAGAGGGGCCATGAGGGCCACTCGGCACTGCACCCCCAACCCATCTCACAGAAAGGCAGAGGAGGAGGCCTGGACGCTGCCACGCGCCCCACCCCAACTCCTCTCAGACTCACCTAACAAAAATCTTCTCCATCTCCTCCAGCCGGTATACCTCCTTCACCCTGTGGGGAGAGGCGCAGAGATGACGAGGGCTTCCTGGGGCACCTGTCTGGGCAGCAAGGGGAGGCAGGAGGCTGCGCCTGCAGGCCCCGCACCACCCAGGCCACCACGAACAAGGACCCAGCCTGGCACTGCGCCCACAGACAAGCCCTAAGGCTCACAGCTGAGCCTGGCCCAGGGCAACTGGGGAGCAGAGCCCGGGCTGGGGAGGACGGGAGGGAGGGAGAGGAAGGTCTGGCGGCGACGTCCCGTCAGTGTTCCGGCCCCACGTGGCCATCACTAGAGGCCAGGACACTAAGGGCCAGGCCCTTGTCCAGGTCTGTCTACATGAATTTTAGGCCTTCGGCTAACAGTTACTTCCAAATCGTCCTAACAGGCCTATTTCCACCTCGGGTGAGGAGACCCCCTACCCAGCCCCCAAGCCCTGGACGCCGCTGAGCACGCCTTTGAGCCACTACTGGGTAGGCTGCCCAGACCCCACACAACAGAGGCAGGGTCCCTGAAGCAGCTTCTCGGGACCTGGCAGACAGGACATTTTAAAGCACGAGAAGAAATTACTTTTTTAAGACTTTCAGAAGACTTCTATAAAGTGTATTCTTACTACTGGATTTAATTCTAAGTAAATTTGTATTAAAAAGAATAGTGAAAATTATTTTTTCAGTCTCTAGACACACGAAGCCCCAAAGATCATAACATCAGACCTCGGCCCAGACTGGAAAAGTCTCTTCTCCGTCCGTCTGCTGACTGTGCTTATCCTTCTCACCTCCCACGGGGCCTGGGCCTTTCATATCACCTCACATGTGGCCTTCTTTCCATGCACCAAGGAACCCATTACCTCAGACAACCCTTCTCTTTATCACGTTCAAAAACTCCCATTCCCTCAGCACCCTTTTCTTACCCGAAGAAAATGAAAAGGCCAGGATTGATATGCTAATGATACCCAAGCATGAATGTGTGGCTCACAGGTGTGTTAGCACCCTCAGTAGCATGTGCATCTGAAATGAGGACACCTGAACCCCGAGGAATGAATCTCTCCGGTGGAGGTTGGCCTGCTGTGACAGGTGGGACGGGGAGGTACGCGGGCAAGCAGGCACCTCTCCAGGACCCCCAAGCACATCACTCATCAGGGTGGTCTGACCTCTAGCGCTGGCCTGGACTGGCCTCCACTGAGCCCTCTCCCACCTCAGAGGACGGGGGCGGGCACTAGCCAGAAAGCAGCAACGGGGAAGGAGGATGGGGGGGAGGTGATACGCTCACCTGATGGGATTCATGTCGGGCCGACTGGGCTTAGAAACAGCTTTCACAAATTTCTCAGCAAGCTGAATCCTACAATCCAATGGAGTCTCTCAGAGGCAAGTAAGGGTACCTCTACCAGGACCCCTGCCCCCAGAGCATCTTCATGGCACCGGTGGGAGGACACTCCTGAATCTGCAGCAAAGCTGCTCTAAGAGGCAGCACCCGCGTCCCCCTGGAGGCCCCCTCCTGCCCTTCTCCACCAACGTCATCAGGGAGGCCCGCTCCCCCTCTCTGGATTCTGACCTCTAATTTTACTACATCTTGGTTGGTTTTCCTCAAGTGTAACTTTGGCTGTGCTCAGTCAACTCCAGCAGAATTTCAAGTATCATCTTTACTGTAAATGTCTGCTCCTTCACCCCAAACCACTGATCCCACAGTGCACCCACTCAGATAAGCCAGCTTAGGAGAGAGGTCAGTGGCACGGCGGTGTAAGGGTGTTCTGTAACTCCCTTTAAACAACTGATTAAGCATCCGTGCACAAACGGAAGTGGGAGTTGTGGGACCCCGGTGAACTGACAGGTGGGGCCACCCAGCACAGAACACATTCTTCGGGGAGAAGACCCGCCCTCTCCCCGTAAGGCCACCCTCTTGCTCAGCCTTAAAGCAAACATCACTCCTGATCTAAATGGTGGCAAGGTGGAGCCCTGGTGAATGAAAGTGCCAACACCAACTTCTCACTGTGCCCTGGGAACCAGCTAGTGGGTAGAAGAGGGAAACTAAGGGTGTTCTTAGGCAGACAAGGCCTGAGTGAGGAGCCAAGCCACAGAGGCCACTGCCATAGTGCTGCCCTGGCCCACCTCCCCTTCTGTCCCCCAGGGCCCCGGTCAGACCGTTGGTTAAAGTGCTGCTCCCGCACGTCGCTGCCATTCAGCACGAGGACATCAAGGATGTGGATCGCACTTATCTTCCGCTGGGCCTTCCCCTAGAAGGACAAGGACACTGCCCACCCTGCCAGGCACTGGCCTAGGGCCCACTCTGCCCAGCGTGGCCTGCTGGCCTCCATTCAAAGAGCTGGGGGAAGGGAGGTGCTCTGAACACATTTCCCTCACCTCCCTCCCAGTTGATGCTCAGCACCAGACTGGCCCAGGCTTCTGAGCAGACGAGAGATCTGAGGTGCTGGACCAGCCCCCTTAAATCTCAGACCCAGGGAGACTGCCATGGTGCTCTGGCAGAAGCTGGTGTCCCGCTCTGGCCCACTGCTCCCACTGACTGTTCTGAAAGTTATGTGTATGGTGGTAATACCCAAAGCTCAGGGGAAATAACAAGTTGCTTCTTTCCCAAGGGATCCTTGGTCAGTAACAATCAATATCTAAAAACTACACAGCAGGTTGACTAGGGCCTTTGCTACCCAGAGATGATCAAGATTTCCTGCACAGAAGGAGACTGTGAGCCTTCCTACCCGAACATACTGTGGCTTAAAGCAACTACTGGAGGAGGAGGAATAATTACAAAGCCTTTGTTGGGCCCTGGGCCCTGTCAACAATCACATACACTATAATCCAGTTAACTTGGGGTGTGTGTGTGGGAGGTGGTGGTGGGGGTGGTGAAGGGCCAAGCCCAGCTGTGCCTCAGTTCCCTAGATGGCAGAGCCACAACACGTGAGCAGAACCACCTCTGACCTCCCCTTTCAGCTCATGGACAATCTCCACAGAGAGCAGAGTATCCCGGGGTAGCTCTGTCTTCAGGTCCAGCTTGACCCAGCGGTCTGACTGGCGGCCATCCCACGTGTAGATCTGAGACTTCTACGGGCAGAGAGAAGAGGTTAGGTCAGGCAGAAGAGGGACTGAGCGGTCAGAGGCTCAGTTCTCAAAAAGGCTTTCAGTTGGTGGCTCCAGGGTGATGGGGCTGGAAATGCCAGAGGAAGAGGTCTGGAGAAAGGAGCTGGTGACACTTCATAAGCGAGCAGGACAGTGTTGTCCTCCGCTGCCTCGGCGGAAGAGGAGTGCTCTGACTCGATCCCACCGGAGAGGGGGGAACGGGCTCAGGCACCATTCAGGAGGCCTGAGGTCATGATCAGTGGCCCTCAGGAAAGATCCAGTTTGGTGTATGTGCAAAGAGGGTTTAGTGAAGGATCGAGAGAGCAGAGCAGAGACAGTGAAGAAAGAAAAAGAGAAAATGTGAGAGGACACAGAAAGGAAGTGAAGAAGAAGACAGAGAACTATACAGGAAGACCAGTCAGAGTGGAAGGAGAGAGCAGTGAGGACTTTGCCCAGTTCAAACACAAAACTGCGGAGGCTCTCCCTCACCTCGTGTTAGACTCCAAAGGCACCAGAGTAAGGATAGGTGGTGTCTCTGCCAGAGAGGGGTGACGGGGGTGGGGGCGGTGCTGCAAAGAAACGGCTGCCAGGACTCGAGCTGGCCAAGCCTGCTGACCACCCTGCTAGCCCAGGAGGCGCCACTTCACCAGGAAGGAGGCAGTGCTCCCTTCAGCAACGCACCAAAGTGAACAAGCAAATACATGAGTAAGTGAAAGAATGAATGACACATGGGTAACTCAGAGGAAGAAAGGAAGGGAAGTTTCAAGAAATACCTTCCCTGGGGTCAAAGCGCCAGCTCCTCAGTGCCAAACAAACACACGCCAAGTGTGGCAGGCGGCTTTCCAGATTCCCACAGACAGACAGCACGGTTCCACCACCCAAGCCGGGGAGGGAACCAGCTGCAGACTTACCCCCAGGCCGATGAGGAACTTCTGCTCGCTGCCAGACACCATGCAGCGGTAGTCGAGCACTGGGCGGATCTTCTCCAGGGTCTTGGCAGTAAGCAGAGTGGGCTTATAGCTGAAGATGTCAATCTCAGTGCCCTGCAGCCCCGGGTCAGAGAAAACACAGCTGGGTTGGGGGAAGGCACAGGCGCTCAGTATGGGTGCCTGGGAGGTTGGGGGCAGAGGGTTAGGGCAGGCTGCGGGGCGGCGGGCGGGTGGGGACAGGAAGCACTTGCTCTCTGAAACATGCCCCCTGTTCTACCTAAGCAGGAACAAACTGGGATCTAATTCCATCTGCTTGGAGTGTTCCTTTAGGACCTATTAGAAGAGGCTGGAAAAGGAAAGAACACCGAGTCCCTGAGTACAGATCGATTTACCAGAGCTATAAGGAAATGTCACCAGAATATAAAAGCCTCCCCTTCAATAAAACTGAAAGCAAAGACTTGCAAGCAGTTGATTTGAAAGCAGTTAAGTGATCTCTCCACCTGTTTCAGAAAAATTTACACATGCTGTTTTTTTGAGGCCATCTTGAACCTCATTCTCCAGTCCCTGACCTGCACAACAGCTCAAGATTTGGGCCAGATTTAAAATGAAGCCCAGGGAAAAGCCGGAATTCAGGTGGTAGGAAAACATAGGGCAGAAGAATTCCAGAGACCACTCACCAGAAACAGACCAGGGAGCCTAGGTCTGGGCTGCTCCACTGTGGAGCTCTCCTGGCACCCCCTCCTGACCCTCTGACCAGCTCCCGGCCTAAGATCACCTCACACTTCGTGTCTCCCCTGCAGCACATGGCACCCTAAACTTGCCGGGGAGTAAGAGCCAGCACCATGCTTGGGGCAGCGGGAATGCTGATCACAACACATCTCAGGCCAAGAATCTTCAGGCGGCCTGGTGGGCTCTGTGGGAACTCAACACCCTCACCAAAAGTCCCCTCCTGAGACCAGAAGGAGGTCTCAGCCCACCCCTGAAGCCCACGTGGTACCTGCACAAGCCCTCTGGAGGCCAGGCACCTGGGGGTCTCAGTGATACCACCTTTTACCAGGCCTCTCTAACTCTTTATTTTTACCAGACACCAAGCGTACCTGGATGAGCTCGAAGAACTTAGATTTTGGATCTGTGGAAGAAGGAGCAACTCGAGCCTGGTCCGGGATCTGAAACAAGACAGCAAAGAACTTTGGTTTTCAAGCGCACTTTTGATCAAGGTTGGGTGTGGGCCTACACATAGGCTCAGACTGGGCAAGAAGAAATGGCACCCAAGGAAGCCGGAAAGAGGGGCTGGGGTGGCCAATTCAGCTCCCTTTCAGGCCTTGTGGTAACACTCCTTCAAAGCCATTTACCTTTCTCTGGGGCTCTCTGTGGTCAATACTGCTACCCAGGGCCACCAGCAGGAAACTGAGGCCTGTTCACCCACCACCCTTGCCCTTTCTGACCAGTCTGTGGGGCTGAACCAGGAGTGAAGGAGCCAAGGAGGTAACTCCCAGCAGTGCTGAGACGTCCAACTCCTGAGTGCTGTGAGCTGGCCTGGCTGGGGGTCAGTCCCAGCCTTCTCGAAAGCTTCCTGCCCTGGAGCGAAACTGGGTCGGAGGGACACTCACCCCCCAGAGCTGGAGGCACTCTTTCCGGATCTCTGCCTGCCGAGGCTCGATCAGGGTCCTGGGAAAATGAAGCCAGTAAATGACTGAAACCTCTGTATAGGAGGAGTGTGCCTCCTGCATACCCATCAGAACCCCAAGGAGAGGAAGTCGTGTGAATCAACATGTGCGTGCCCACATGAGGCTAAGCCGTCGTCACCCAAGGTGCTTATAACACTCACACGGCTCTGCCTCCGGGAGATGAGGGCACGGGCACAGAAACTGAGATGATCTCCTTGCTCAACCACAAAGGGAAAGGAGTAGCAACCCTCCTGGCCACCCTGGATGGCAGGGTCCCCAAACACTCTTCTCCCAATTACCCATCAGAACACACCAGTTCCTTCCTTGACACAGGCCACATGAAGTCCATCCCGTGGACGTCACCATGCCCGAGAAAGCTGGGTTAGCTTCTGCTCACCCCCTACCAGAGGTGTTCTGTGACCAGTCCTCCCTCTCCTCACCTGATCACTCTTTATGCCCCCTGAACATTAGATATTCTACACACGCCCCTCTACATTCTCTGAGGCACTGGTAACAACTTTTCCTGTATCCTTTGCCTGGGTTACTCTTATCTGTCCAAAGACAGATAAGCCTCTGAGGCCGAGGTTCATGCCATGTGCTTCTTTGGCATGCTTCACAGAATACGGTAAAGTATGAGATAAAAAAGTAGGTATTTTTAAATGTTTGTAGAAATGAAGTAAAGAGCTCGGGTTGGGGGTGGGGGGTGGGGAACAAAACATAAAGATCTTCCCTTGAAATAGGTAGATTCTGGAAAGGGCAACACTCACGTATCTTGCACAAAGGCACGGATTTTGGCCAGAGCTTTGATCTGCAGACTGCAGTGGCTGGAATTAAAAAAAAAAGGATTTTATCTCAGAAGGATTACCAAAAAAGACAGCCTACAGTAATGAGGATAGAGAAGTTTAGCCAGAGCAGTGGCTATCTATGTTTGGGGACAGGGTTAAAGTCAAAAAAGAACCCCTTCAACCACAACCTTAAGGTACAGTTACATGGACCTGATGAAGGCTTAGGGTGAAGCAGAACTGAGTCAAACCCTCCAGACACTCAGATCCCAAGCCCAGTCAAAAGGAAGGTTCTGATCTCATCCTTAAAAATTTGAGGACTTCCCTGTGGTACAGTGGATAAGAATCCACCGGCCAATGCAGGAGACATGGGTTCGATCCCCAGTCTGGGGATATCCCACATGCCGCAGAGCAGCTAAGCCTTTGCGCACAACCTCCAAACCCAAGCTCAAGACCCTGTGAGTCGCAACCACTGAAACCCATGTGCCTAGAGCCCATGTTCTGCAACAAGAGAAGCCACCGCAATGAGAAGCCCGAGCACCTCAACAAAGAGTAGCCCCCTCTCACCACAGCTAGAGAAGGCATGCTAGCAGCAACAAAGACCCAGAGCAACCAATAAATTATTAAAAACAAAAAACAAAAAAACTGAAAGCCATAGTGAAATGATTTTTTTTTTGCTGCAATGTGCAGCTTGCAGGATCTCAGTTCCCCAAGCAGGGATCCCCAAACCTGCAACCTTTCAATTAAAGTCCTAACCACAGGACCACCAGGAATTCCCTGAACTGATTCTAAATGAAGCAACAACGCAGTCCAGACCTAGTTCAAGTACACATTAAGCTGACTACCTGCGCTAAGAGCCACCCTTACTACCTCAGCCTCCACGGCTCTTAGGAGACAATTTTTTTCATTTAAAAAGCAAGACGTGATAAAGCAAGAAAATGTGACCCACTGACAAGAGGGAAAACAGTCCAACAGAACAAGACCAAGAGATGATCCAAATGTTAAAATTATCAGACAAGACCTTAAAAATAACTGAAAAATATGTTAAAGGATCTAGTGAAAAAGGTATAATATACTTAAAAAGATGGAAAATACTGGCAGATATAACTATATTTTTCAAAAGCTAAAATTCTAGAAATGAAAATATATTAGAGATAAATGGTATTATTTGTTTAGCAAATTTATACAAGTATAGTTGATTTACAACGTTAGTTGCACGTATACAACATAATCAAATTTTTATATATTATACTCTATTTAAAATTATTATAAAATACTGGCTATATATCCCTGTAGCTTATATATTTTACACATAATAGTTTGTACCTCTTAATCCCCTATCTTGCCCCTCCCCTCCTGCCTCTCCCCACTGGTAACCAGTAGTTTGTTTTCTATCAGTCCATTTCTGTTTTATTATTCATTTTTTTGGATTCCACATATAAATGATAACTTATCTGTCTGACTGATTTCACTAAGATCCACTGCTCTAGGTCCATCCATATTGTTGCAAATACCAGAATTTCATTCTTGTTTTTAATGACTGTAATATTTCAGTGTGTGTGTACCATCAACAGTGTACTAGGGTTTCCTTTTTCCCACTTCCTTATCAACATTTGTTATCTGTAGACTTTTTGACAATGGTCATTCTGACAGGTGCAAGGTGATCACATTTAATCTGCATTTCTCTGATTATTAGTGATGTTGAGCATTTTTTCATATACCTGTTGACCATCTACATGTCTTCCTTGGAAAAATGTCTATTCGAATCTTCTGCCCATTTTTTAATTGGGTTTTTTTTTATTGATGTTGAGTTATATGAATTATTTATATAATTTGCATATTAACTTTTTATCAGTCTTACCATTTGCAAATATGTCCTCCCATTCAGTAGGCTGTCTTTTCATTTTGTTGGTTTCCTTTGCTGTGCAAAAGTTTTTAACTTTAATTAGGTCTCATTTCTCTATTTTTGCTTTCTTTGCCTTAGGGCCTGATTCCTCCACCTCTAAAATTTCTACTCTTTATGTCAGAGTGTTCTGCCCTTGTTTTCTTCTAGATTTATGGTTTCTGGTCTTACATGTAGGTCTTTAATCCATTTTGAGTTTATTTTTGTATATGGAAGCACCTGCTTAGTGGCTCCATGGCTTGTGGGATCTTCCCGGATCAGGGATCAAACCCATGTCTCTTCCACTGGCAGGCAGATTCTTTACCACTGAGCCACCAAGGGAAGACTTTTATGTATAGGCTCATGAGGGGGATTAATCTATAAATGTGTAGTTTTTTGAAGTTTTGGTGAGACGGTTGGATGGCATCATCAACTCAATGGACATGAGTTTGAGCAAACTCTGGGAGATAGTGAAGGACAGGAAAGCCTGGCATGCTGCAGTCCATGGGGTTGCAAAGAGTCCGACACGACTGAGTGACTGAACAACAACAACAAATATGTATATTTAAATGCTATAAATTTCCCTTTATTAATCCTTTTTTAATTCCTTTAGGTATATATATAAAGGAACATATATTTATCTATTCATCTGTCAATGGACATTAAAAGACATTCAAATTGGAAAGGAAAGCAAAAAATTATTTATTTGCAGAAGATATGGTTATATATGTAAAAAATCTTAAGGAATATACCAAACTACTAGAACTAATAAGTAAATGAAGCATTCACACAAAATATGTAGTCAATATACAAAAATCAATTGTATTTCCATATACTAGTAATGAACAATTAGAAAATGAAAAATTTAAAATACCATTTACATACCCATAAAATTCTTAGAAATAAATTTAACAAAAGATGTGTAACATCTCTATACTGAAAACCATAAAACTGCTGAGAGACATTAAAGAACCTAAATAAAACTTCTAGATGAAACTTCTGACCGATATTCTAGTCAGAATATTTTCATTACTTTAGTACAGTGAAAGTTTTTTTAGAGAGACAACAAGAATCACCAAAAAAAAAAAAAAATTGATAAACTGGATTTCAGCATCAAAATTTAAAACTTCTTGGCAATCAAACTGAAAAGGAAGAAATTATCTCAGTTTGCAGATCACATGATCTTTTATGAAAAAAATTCTAAAGATTCCACAAAAAACTGTTGTAATAATCAGTCACAAATTCTATATAACAACAACAAACAATCTGAAAATGAAGCTAACTACTCCATCTACAATAGCATCAAGAAGAATAAAATGCTGAGGAATAAATTAAATCAAGAAGCGAAAGACTTGTACACTGAAAGCTGTGTAACACTGCTGAAAAAAAATGAAGAGAGATAAAAATAAATGGAAGGGCATACTGCGTTCATGGATTGGAACACTTAATATTGTTAACATGACAACACTACCCAAAGCAATCTACAGATTCAATGCAAACTCTACCAAAGCTCCAATGGCAGTTTTTGCAGAAATAGAAAAACTCATCCTAAAAATCATACGGAAACTCAGGGGATCCCAAATAGCCAAAACAATACTGCAAATGAGGAACAAAGCTGGGGGCCTCAGATATCCTGAGTTAAAAAAAACTTACTACAACACTACAGTAAAAAGTATGGTACTGGCATCAAGACCAATGGAACAGAATAGAGAGCTCAGAAATAAACCCTCACATGTATGATCAAATGATTTTCAACGGGAGTGCCAAGATCATTCCATGGGAAATGCATATAGATAGGCTTCAACAAATAATGTTGGGAAAACTCGATATCCACATGCAAGAATAAAGTTAGACACTTCACATTACCTACAAAAATCAATTCAAAATGGATCAAAGACCTAAACATAAGAAATAAAACTATAAAACTCTTTTTCTCAAAACAAAACACAAAGAAAAGCTTCATGACACTGGATTTAGCAATGGATTTCTTGAATGACACCAGAAGCACAGGCAATAAAAGAAAAAATAGATAAACTGGACTATATCAAAATATAAAATTTCTGTGCAAAGGGCATAATCAATACAGTAAAAAACAAAAACAAAACCCCACAGAATACAAGAAAATATTTTCAAATCATACATCTGATTAAGGGATTAATACCCAGAATATATTAAGAATTCCTATAACTAAACAACAAAAATCAAGCAAATCAATTTAACAATGGGCAAAGGAAGGTCTGTCCAAGATGGCACAGTAAGACCCTGAGCTCCCCTCTCACTCGGGACACCAAACTACAGCACAGGAACCTGGAACGTCAGGTCCATGAGTCAAGGCAAACCGGAAGGGGTCAAACAGGAGATGGCAAGAGTGTATGTCGACATTTTAGCAATCAGTGAACTAAAATGGACTGGAATGGGTGAATTTAACTCAGATGACCATTATATCTACTACTGTGGGCAGGAATCCCTTAGAAGAAATGGAGTAGCCATCATAGTCAACAAGAGTCCGAAATGCAGTACTTGGATGCAATCTCAAAAATGACAGGATGATCTCTGTTCGTTTCCAAGGCAAACCATTCAGTATCAAAATCCAAGTCTATGCCCCAACCAGTAATGCTAAAGAAGCTGAAGTTGAACAGTTCTATGAAGACCTACAAGATCTTCTAGAACTAACACCCAACACAGACGTCCTTTTCATTATAGGGGACTGGAATGCAAAAGAAGGAAGTCAAGAAGCACCTGGAGTAACAGGCAAATTTGGCCTTGGGAGTACAGAATGAAGCAGGGCAAAGGCTCATAGAGTTTTGCCAAGAGAACGCACTCTTCCAACAGCACAAGAAAAGACTCTACACATGGACATCACCAGATGGCCAACACCGAAATCAGAATGATTATAATCTTTGCAGCCAAAGATGGAGAAGCTCTATACAGTCAGCAAAAACAAGACTGGGAGTTGACTGTGGCTCAGATCATGAACTCCTTATTGCCAAATTCAGACTTAAATTGAAGAAAGTAGGGAAAACCACTAGACC